TACACCTTGACCATTTAACAGCCCTCGACGTAAGGCCTGTCACCCAAGAGTCCCTCCCCGACTGAGTACTCCCCTTGCTGGGCTCACCTGTGCTTTCTCTGTCCCAGTCAATCTTGGTCCCATTCTGCACACCAGCACACCTTCAAGAGGAAGGGGAAAAGTGTGTCCAGCCTGGGAGGGCTTAGAGCATGAGGGCACCCAGCACTCCCTTGGGAATCCACAGATGAAAATCTAATCCTCCCCGATGCTACGGACAACTAACTTGTACTCCAAGCAGATCTCTTAACCCTAAACTGTGTCTGCCAGAGAGCAGCAGCATATCTTTTTCCTTACACTTTTTTTAACAGAAGGCAGAGTCTGTCTCAACTTTCTGTGTGGACTTCATTTCAAACCATTAGACATGTACCAGGCTTACCCAGCAATCTGAAGGAGGAGGTGTAAGCACACTTAGACTTCAGGTATTGATTAGGAAGGAAGCAGTGTCAAACTGTTCAGCACTGAGACTAATGTACACTTCTGGATATGCTCAGAAGAAATCTTGGAAACTTCAAAGAGAAAACATAAGTCGAGGTACCTACTCAGTGCTGTCAGTGGCAGCTGTCAAATGCAGTAGGCGACTCTGGACTCAGTATAAATCCTGATTTAGTACCTCTTTATGTCCCCATGTCTGAATTTTTCCTTAGTCATTTCAGTGCGCTGTATTGGTCCATCACTTGCCATCCAGACATTGTCGTCTCATGTGATTATTAATTACCCTGAAATCCTCCTCTAGAAGTAAACCGTAACTCTAGAAAATTCACATAAAAAGAGCAGATGTTTTTGCAGGGCTTTCTTCTTCCTAAAAAGATACCTAACCTGCTTTCAGTATCTCCTTAACAAATTGTGTTACGTTTAGCTGTATATAAACTCAGCCATTAATTCCACCAACATATATCTGCACTTTACCTTATACAAATAAGTAATCCCGATATGAAATCAATCCTTATCTGAGGCAGAGATCATAAACCACAGCCTTAACTGTACATAGCATCACTGAAATCAATAAAGCCTTCCCAAATTAAACTGGCAAATGGTCCTGCTTTACATATCTTTAATGTAGATGCTTTCAACTATTGTGAATTAAGAGAGTGACGTAGCGAACATCATCTGTGTTATACATTGTCTTTTGTCTAAGCAAGCTACTGCTTCCTCCACTTACTACTAATGCTTAAAGAGTTTCTTGACATATCCTCGCTGTCATGCCATTTGAAATAGTATAGTTAAAAGAAAAGAAGATGTTATCAAATACAAATCAGGTCTAACACAAACAGGAAAAACAAGCTTATATTAGTTTTATAAACCCATCACTCAACAATTTCATCTCCCTGTGACTAAGTACGAAATATAAATACTGCATTAAATCTCCCAAGCTTGTTGCGTTTGATAGAAATAATGTGGAGTTCATTACTACGAGAATATACTAACGACATCCCTTTGGTATTATTACAATATACGAGTTAATTACAAAGCCAACATTCACTCATGGGTTGTATCTTTCTTCACATATATAGAGATTGCTCCTTACAGTTAAACATACTAGATACAAGCAAACTTCTAAAACAAAGTTAAAAAAATTATCATTACAAACTGGGAAGTGATTCTTGACTGTACGATTTTCTATTTTACAGGTGAGACAGCCATAGCACAACAGTACCACCAGGCCACCCATCAGGCCAGTGCTTATTGCCAAATACAGAACTAGGAGAAAATCAGAGCATTTAGGGTAGCTTTATAATGCAAATATTTCATTCCAAGTCAAACTAATCTGAAATTACTTTTTTCTCCATTTTACATTTTCTCAATGGAAATCAGTTTGGGGTTTTCAGCTCATTCTGAATTTTCCCAATGAAAACATATGTAGTAAAATGAAAAACACTAGTGGATATTTTATACTCTGAGAGAGAATGCAAAACAGCACTGCAATGAGTCCAAGTTCTCTTCAGCTCTGATGCAGAAGTGTGCTCCACTGAACTATCATCACCACTTGCTTCAGAACAGGGAACTCCTTGGAAGGTTTTCATTTTCTGTCTGATTGTGGCATCCTCTGCTGAGCTTGAGGGAGCTGACAGAATGAGTACAAAGTAGTATGTGGCAGTGAGCCACGAAAAGCAATGCATTTCCGAACAATTACAGCACATTTTTGTTGGTGCTGGGAGACACAAGGCTGCAGTCCAAGTGCTTAGCCACTTGAGAACTGCAATTACATACTGGAAATGCACTGCCTGGAACAGTCCCTCTTACGAAATGAAAATTACCAACTAAAATGGGAAATTGGAAAAAAATAGTTTCTTTCTGTCTCATGTTGTTTATTGGAACCTCCTTATCAACCCTGTTGCTTCTTTCCTTTCTACCCAAAGTTTACTCAAATCAAGGTAACAAATCACTATTCCTGTACTACCCATTTATAAATACATTTAAAATGTTGAAAATATCATTATTACCTTTATGTCGCACCTCTGTGCAACACGGTTAGTCATGTCTGTATGTCTCCTTGTATCTTTTCAACAGCACCTTACCTTTATAATGGAAAAATTCTAGGAAGGTATCTCAGTCCTTGATTCTTTACATTTTCTTGCTCACGTCTTACGTTCTACCCCAAAACTCAATACCTCATGACTGCTTGCGCAGCCACCATTTTGCCAGTAGGTTTACATGATAGATAAAGGATGCATGAGGTTTGTACTCCATTGCATAGGAGTTATGACTACTGCCTAAAAGCATGTATTAGTGCAAGTTGACCTTTCCAAGGGCTGAAACACCAGAGTGCTATCCTAATTTTGGGAGCAAGTAAATGGCAAAGGAAATAGTTCATAGTGAAAACGCTAGCCCCAGCAAATGGTGGAAAGGTAGACTTTTATGTGTCTCTGTCTTTAAATAGAGTAAGCTACTGAAAATCAAGCTCGTACGGGTAAACAATCCACAAAATAGGGGAAAAAACCACTCATTTAACAACTACATCAATAATCGCTGTGGTAATAAACAAGCACTCAGTTCTATTACTGCAAATAGTAGCACATCTACCCTTTATGCTGCCAATTTCGAGCTAATACAATTCCATTAATTTTTAGACACTAACTTGCAACTGAACATCTCAAGCAAAATAAAAGTTTCTAGTCAAAAATCACATACATACCTCTGTACTTCAGTTCTCAGCAGGACATAAAATCAATTAAAAAAACCATGAGGATATAAAACAGAATTAAAAAAATTAAAATTTAAAAACATATAAAAATATAAAACTTCAGAGAATTTGTAGAAAGCAACACTAAAGGGAAATCTAAGACGCCATCTGATACATTTCTATGCCTGAATATATGTGTCACCCATTGAAAGATTCTAGTTCAAGACATCTGAAATTTACTTTCAAGTCTCTATGCTTTTTTAAAGTGACATAAGAAACAGGTATTTGGAGGCAAGATGATGAAAGAAAGGAGGCTCAGAAACCTGTAAAGGGGAAGCTAGGGGTGATGAGAGGAAGGCTGGACAAAAACCTGCAGAGCAAAAACAAGTGGAAAAAAAGCAGTTTAAAAAAAAAAAAAAGGAGGAGAAATTAAAAAAAAACCACCTCTCCGTACACATGCATCTAAACAGACAAAAATATCTTTTCCTGTGTATTTCCTAATGACTCTCTCAGAGGAAAGGAACAAAGAGGTATATAATACAATAATAAAGCTGAGAAAGACATCACCTGAGAAAACCTATGGTAATGTAATTACCATTTCTACAGAATAAATCATTTTTTTTTAGAAGTCATTCCACGAGCACATCTGTCCACAGTTCTGTATTTTGTTGGTGTGTCCAAGCACTTGCTTGTCTAGACAAGTAAAAGCATGTGCAACGGCTGGTTCAGAGCTTTGCACATCCTGACCAGCATGCTGGAGTTGCCTCTTGCAACGAAAAGGAGAAAGTTGTAACTTGCTTTCCCTTCCTTAGGACACTGTCTTTCATCTTTTTGGACATCCCATTCTGATAGGTTCAACCAAGTAGTGCTGTCAAGAGCAGGGACAGCACAGACATAGGAAAGACTGGAAAAGGATAACATGCAGAGGACTCATTTACACAGGAAACCAGGGTTAAATACATAAAAACACCTTAAAGAAGAAATATATATATATTCGTTCTCCAATCAGTACCATCAGGAAAGGCATTCTGGCATTGGAAAGCCTTTTTCTGAACCGGAGGAGGAAATCTTTATGTAGGGCTTATTCCTGCTCATATTCCAGTAGGTGAAAATCTGTCATCAATCTCAACATGAGCAGCAGCTCTAACTCCAAGAGGCCCAAACAGGAAAACAGAATGCAAATATATTTATTTCATCTTTAACTTATTCTCTTCAGAATAGACTTTACAAATGCTTCACAACTGAAACATCGCTGCCCTGTGCATAGGTTTAATAGAAAAAAATCCGAATGGTTGCAAGAATATTCATCTACAATGAGCATAAAGATACTTCATTTAAAATGCAAATTTACATATGTGCCCACAAATCTTATTGTTCCACTCCTCAGAGACTAAGATATTATATGAGAATATGTGTATTAATCTATCCAATGAACAAAGTACAGCAAAACTGCTGTGTGTTAGATCTGTAGATCACATGTACAGTATATTAAAATCACTTAGTAGACAGATAATTATGTTTCCATGTAAAATCCATTACAAATAATAAATAATTAAATATATGTATGACTTGACAAATAATGTGCCAGGATTACGCAGATAATTCATATTTAATTCAGTAGCTGCTTCACTGCTAACATATACACCATTGCATGTTCTCCGACATGATACATTTACTTCATTCAAGTATCTGAACTTTCCAATTAATTTCACCCTAAGGCACTCAAAACAAGTAATGCAGATAGGCTCTTGAAAATAAATCTAGCTTATCTCATTTCCTTTCTCATTGTAGTCTTTATCCCAAGGAAGATCAAAATGTCACTGCTGTAAGAGGAATTAAGCTAGTAGAATCTCTCTCCTCGTGTACCACTCTCTGGGCAAGGGATAGGTTTGAAGGTCAGTTCAGTGTTCTCCATCAGTACAAAATCATATCTGCACAGCTGCAGCCTACAAAAGTAGAAAAAGAAAAAAATGTGCACAACAGAAAAAGTTAACATTAACAGAAAAATGTTTCAGTACTTGAATTATTAAACCTCCAGTATTTACCAGCTCTCAGACATGGTACTCAGGATAAGGAGAAATGTCTTCTTGTCTATGTGTACACCCTATTTTATGCATCACTAGAGTAGTTTTGCCAGACTGAACAACAATCAGGATATCAGCTGATGGTGCAAAGTGGCATGAGTAATCACATTAGTCTGAAATATGAATATGCAATATTTCATCCATTCAAGCTATTAATCTGCATTCAAATTACTTCTTTAGAATAATGGTCCAAGAACAACCCAATTCCTGTTAATACTGGGACTGACTAATTTAGAGTTCCCTAGGTATGAAAGTTTCTCTGCTTTCATTCCACAGAGGAGAGTAGAAAACCACATCATAATATCTTCTAACTCTTTCAGTTGCAATGACATCATGCATAAGAAAGTTTCATGCATGAGAGTAATTTGTCATCTAAACACCTAGAAAACTCAGAACTGCATAACACTACACGAACACATACAGAGGTCACAAAAGGAGCCACACACACACACAAAATCTTACTTTTTGAGGTCAACATAGCTGCTCTGCTTTGTAGCGCAGAGCCAGGTCATAGCTCTGCCGGGTCCTGCACTTTGGTCACAACAACCCCATGTAATGCTACAGGCTTGGGGAAAAGTGGCTGGAAAGCTGCCCAGTGGAAAGGGACCTTGGGGTGTTCGTCGACAGCCGGCTGAACATGAGCCAGCAGTGTGCCCAGGTGGCCAAGAAGGC